TAGAGAGGCACAATTATGAATCTTCTCCCTCTATCACTAAAATTAATACACTTTTTTATACTTTACTATTTCAGTTCAAGTCATGTTAGAGCTCCTGGGGATTCAGGTGAACATGCAGAAATGTTTAAAGAAAAGCTTCAAGCCCAAGGACTAAAGACAAGGACAAATACATGAACCTTAGAGGCTCTAGAAGTCACAGCAAATAAAAAGTACTCAGAATTTTAAATGTATGTCCTTTTGAAGCAAAATCCATTATTTTGGATGACTAAATCTTGAATTCTGGATGAAGACTGAGCGCTTTACTATCAGTGCAATCAATCCTGTGCATTCTCTGTGACACAAAGGCAGGAATGGAATTTGGTGCACWGTGCAGAACTGCCACCTCAGTGCTGTTTATGCCCCACTTTGGTAAAGAATACGAAGGACCCAGCTGCACCAARCAGACCTGAATGAGTAACCATCCGTGACTAAGCTTTCAAGTRTCTTCTAAAACCAAAGATCATTCTAGAGCCATTCCTTCATTTCTTAACTACTCTTTCAGAGAAATTAGAAGCCACTAGCAGTTGTTAGAGATTATTCCTACTCTTGAGGCCTCTCTAAACGTGCCAGACTCTTGGATATCTGGTTTCGGAAACAGCAATTTGCAGCGCAAGTGATCTGAGAATTTCTGTCCAATTTTCAGCATAACTTCTCGAGAAATTATCACAGTAACAAATAACTTAGATAGTAACAGAGTGCCTTCATTGATGACATCTGTACTCGGTCATCTCCCATAGCTGACTTTCATTTTTTATGAGCACATTTTAAAAAGAAAGCACTCGTACATAGTTTGTGTCTCAAGTCACAAGACACATGCATCAATTTTTCAGGCAATTCCACTCTTGGACTGTAAACTGGGGGTAACAGCAGTTCAGATTCTATGAGCTCTGGCTGAGCAATCACTATCAGTCACAAATCTAAAGCATATTCAGAAACTCAAACATAAGTTTTCTGGTAATGCAGTAACCTTGTCAATAGCAATGGACATTTTAAGTCAGGATACTTGCACAGAGTCTCAGATGTGTTATTTGTCTTTAGAAGCAGCATCTCAATCTTCACACTAAGAATTAAACCACAGGCCTTTTGAGGCTGATGGCAAAACTCCAGATGGGTGCAGAATTGCCACCTGCCTAGAGAAACGGAAAACTGCTTCAGATTTAACTCAGGACTTTCCAGTTTCATCCTGATATTTCYGATCAAAGTAACCGGAGACTTAAAAATGTTATGGTATGGCATGAAGCTCATAATCTATTTTCTGGACATCMGTGTGCAACACATTCAGTGACTGTAAAACAATAATCCAAAGGTTTTCCACAAAGATGGTCTCCAAGTCCACTATGTCATATAATGGACATCAGATTTTTGGCCTTGCAAAGCTGAGCCTCACAGACATTTACTATGTTGGTAGTTTTTGGCAGATTGGTTATGGCAGAATCATTTTGAAGACAATAATGTTTTCAACATGTATATCCTTCATTTCCAAAATATCACAGATAGTTAGAAAAGACCATAATGCAGGCAGGGATTGCAGGAACATAAATCATGGAAGCAACCAACAATTTATTGAATGAATATACGACCTATGAAACTTTCCCTTCCATAGAAACCAAGACATAAGGCTTCTTAAACATCCAGACATGGTGTCTTTGCTGTTATTCCCTCTGCACACATCAGCAACCCCACAGCCTTTGAGGCAAAATGTACTGACTTGTAGAGGGTTTAATTTGGACTGCAGGAACCTAAGAAAATATCAGCATATTCTTGATTTGAAAACAGCATACCAGAGAATAAATCTAAAATGAATCCATGTGTGAAATTCTTGATGATATATATTTGCCCATACAAATCTGCTAGCCATCATTTCTTCCTGCCAGTAATCCATTAGCAAGATTATAAAGATATACAGTCCTACATGCATTTCATAACAAATMTAACAGCATCTAGCTGAATGGTGCAATAAAACATCATCACAAGGTTAAAAAAGAGTTGGTTACCAGGCTGAACATCCTGCCTTTTCAATTACCAGTATGAAGCAATAAGTACTCTAGAGATCCCTTCAAAACAGCAGAACTGGACTTGGACACCTCAACTTTGTAAGCTTAACCCTCTTCTAAAATCTRTAGTACTAACAGCTCTCCTGCTGCAATGTGAGGAAAGATGAGGAGCCTTTTACACAATATTTAGCAATGAATTCTAGGCTATAATTAACATACAGTTAACATTCCCAACTACATATAACCTGTAGAATACAGTAAGTTCTTTGGATGGAGTCATCATTTAAATGTTTAGAAATAATGAATTACTCCATGTTGCTGCTACCATTTGATAGAAGAGTATCTTCTTTGTTTTCAAGAAAAACATACATATGTCATTTGCTTCTATTACCATTGGCTTTAGACAAATGTAGTTCCATTAATTTCATTTATATTGGCACACACGAGAAAAGATCAGCTCTACATTTGCAAAAGAACACAGCCCAGGCTTACCCATAAGTGATCTCTTCCTGACTGATTTCTGTCCCTGCTCGTGGTCACAGAGCAGATGGAACCATCAGGCAGCTCAGCAATGCTCAGGGGTAAATTATTCCCTGTGTTATGCTAGAAAACCTAATTTACCTGTTAGTGCAGCAACTCATTTGCCRTTGACAAAATAATCATGCCAAATTAGAGACACTGCACATCTGTAAGGCAGAGATCATTTTGGAGCCCAGCTAAACACCACTCTGCTTGTTGCCATGTGTGAAAAATCAGAAAGGACTCCCATAACCAAAGTCAAGTTCCACTGCCTCTCAGGAACAGCCACCTCTTTTTCACAACTTCTCATGTTCAAGTTTTCTTTGTGTTACATTCATACCACATTCCCACCACATTCTTTTTAAATGGTCATYATTTTATTTTGTACCTGCCTCAAGCAGGATGAAATTAATCAATTGCACGTAAGTGATATGACACAGACTTGTGACCTTGCCCAGCATCCAATTGTTTCTAATTGATTAGCTCCAGACATAAGCACTTTAATAGCCAAAAACAACAGAAGTGGAAGTTATGGTACAATATTAGGGTAAAATGACTGTGTGTGGTCCRTACAGTATGGCCCCAAGCAACCAATTAAAGAATTAATGGTTACTGGATACCAAAAATGTTATGTTAAATAATATAAAATATCTTTAATGTGCCCAAAATTGTGATAAAACACCTAAAACTTAGGAGCAAAAAGGCCTCCTACAAGATTGGGGTTAAGTGCTAATGACTCAAATATGCCAAACAGATTACAGTATTTTAAAGGACAATCAAGACCATAAAATTTGACCTGGACTGAAATGTTTGTAAAGCTACTCACAACARCCAATTGATTACTACAATGTGTTTGGGTTGTTTTTATTATAAAGAGACAAGTGAAGCTATGCCAAAGCATTAGTGGAGAAGAGGAAACTATGCCACTACTGGTTCCAGTTCTGCAATAAGAAAAATATGAAAGAAAAAATACAAGAAAAATATTATAAAAGAAAAAAATGGTCCCTTCATAACCAAAAGGCCCAAAAMCAAAATTGACATTTCCCTTCTCTGAGCTTCTATTATCATCTAGAACARAACTATTAAGGGAACTTGATAAACTACTTTCTGAGTGCCTTATAGGGCTGGTTGTTACCATATCACTGAACTGCTTGCACATGAAAATAATCCAGACAGACATGGCAAACCCGTAACAGTTTTGTCTCTGGATAAGAAACACTCGGACAAAAGGCAGATCCCACAGCRGCCCTCTCTGCTCAGCCATGTGTTGAATGCACTGTATCTCACTGCACAATCAATACAAATGTCAMTTTTGACTTGAATGGCATGTCCTTTACTCGAGTAACCAGTGTACTGGTTAGGTATAACCATAACCCACCGAGAGGAGGTGTAAGCAGGTAACCAGCTGCCAAAGAACTCAGAGCACACAGAGCACTCAGCAGCGCTGCTGGGGAAGCACTGGAGCCCCATTCCCACTGCCTTGAACCTCAGACTACACCCTCCATTTATCATGGCTTACTCAGCTGTCTAGTACAGTCTCCTAAGTTCTTCATACTGCTTTTGATTTAACTTTTGCCTGCTTTGTTGTTCTTGAATTCAAAATCCTTCAGGATATATGTTTATGTATTGCCCAGTACATCAGTCCATTTTTCAGCACTGCAATAGTACAAACAGTACGCAACAACACTGATTTTATTTAAAGATTTTACCTTTTTGTTGAAAACTACTACAATGCTCAAAAAAAGGTTCCTTTTATTTTTTTAATAAATCTCAATTTAGCCATCCTTTTCCAAGGATTTCTGGATTTCTGTGTATTTAAGACTGAAGAATCCTTGAAACATTTTGTGCTGTGGGAACTATCAGTAYAGGGAATGACATACAATAACAACATCTCTGCAGCACGCCAGCACACCATATTTCTTGAAATACTCACTTCTTGGAACTGATTAGGCTCATGTGTCAGGCAATAGATCAGATGGCAGCTATGGTTTTGCTCCATGGTTCCTGTACTCATTGAACACTTGGAGCAAAGACCTATTTGGGCCACCTTCCCTGCCTTCCAACTTCCAAGTACCTTAGATGTTTCTACCCACGTATTTCTATAACCCTTGTCACTTAAAGTAACATTTATCAGGTACTTCAATTCCCAGGGGCAAAGAACAGCTCTGCTGCCTAGAAAGACCCCTGGCATTACACATCTGACAAGATCTCCCTTTGGTCCCCCTTCGGTAAAATCAGGTACAAYACACTGAGCAAGAGAGAGAATATTCATTTCCCACATGGATGTCTTTGAAGGTTTGGTGAAAAGAAAACCTTCTCATTGTGAGTCTTTTAATTACAGTGCAGTTCCTTCAGCAGTTTTCTGTTTAAGAACAGTAATGCAAAGTGTGCAGCAAGATCACCTGCTACAGGACCAGGAATGACAACAGCAACGAGTTCATGACCTACCTGCAGATGAGCATAGAGGGCAAAAGCTAGCCAAGTGATCTCCCAGGAGAGCCCAGGGGCTTTAGGGCTCGCCATCCTCACGCCTCGGGGCTCTGCTGAGAGAAATTGTTTCAAGTTACAAACAAAATCGAGGGGGCTCCGCCAGAATTTCAATGACTAAAGCAAACTGGGCCGGGCGCTGGAAGCGGCGCAATGCAAACACCGGAGAGCTGCGCTGGCCAGAGCAGCAGGAGCAGCGCATGCCRTGAGCACAGCCTGCAGGGTGAGGCRGCTCCAATCCGGGAAAAGGACCAAAATGAGACGTTTGGGGAAGCTGGCAACAGTGGACAAGTGTGAATAYCTCCTGAGCACAGGAGAATTTATCAAATTGGGAATCCCTCCTGTCTTGATCTCCGGAAGGTAAAATCCAAGGAGCATAGAATTTCTGATGATCTTTCCAGCACTTTCCCCACTCAATGATAAGAGCCCAGCCCTGGGATTTCAGCAGTCATTTGCACTGCCTTTGAAAGCTCTGATCCTAACAGCTCAGAGACTAAACAATCAGGGCTTAAAGTTAGAGSGGAAAAATCCATCAGTTTGGTTATCATCACAACCACAGGCCAATATGAAGYTGTCAATTTAAATTTGCCAAAAAAAATATTAATAATACTGTTAATTCTATTAATTCCTTGTGTCAATGCACCTTATTGCCTTAGACTATACATTTCCAGAGTGCTCTCCAAACACTSCAAGTTTCACGCCCCCCGATCCCCTCACACAAACAGCACTCCCTACCCTCAGCCAACACCCCCCGGTTTGCCAAGCCCCACAGCGAATGCACACTTCTCCTTCAAATAAAGTACTCCTTTCTAAAAAGTCAGGCATCCCAAAGGAAAACCATCTATYCAAACAGTTCTTGCACCTGTCAACCGAACATAATTAAGATTCCTTACAGAATGAAGCGTYTTATTCCCTCCCTCCAAAAACACCTTAAAGTTCCCCTCCCTCACAAAATCTTTAGCACTCCTGGATGCTTTCGTCATTTAAAAGTACCGATAAAAGAAGGAAGACTATTTATTTCCCCCGTTGTCCATGCATTGCCGAGTGCCTGAACACCGCTGTGGTATTTCCAGGTGCCGGTGCCTGCGCTCCCTCAGGGCCGGACGAGCACCCGCGGAGCGGAGCCCTCCCGAAATCTCCTCTGGAGCGACCCTCGCCCAGCRCCGCGGCCACCCCCGCCGAGAGAGCCCCTGGGGGGCTGCCGTGCCCTGCGGTGCCCTGCCCTGCCCTGCCGTGCCCTTCCTGGGGCAGCCGCCGGGCTCACCCACCTGGAGCGGAGCGGAGAGCGCAGGGAGCGGCGCACGGCACAGCCTCGGCTGTCAGGGCGGCSGGGATGCCGCATCCTGCCCCGAGAGCGGCGCCCCTCCCTCACTCAGCTCCAGCCCACCGCCGCCTCAGCCAAGGTCCTACGGGCTGCTGGCAGCGAGCCGCCCCCGCCGCCCGGCCCCGGCCCCGGCCAGAGGCGCCTCCACCTGCGGCGCGGGACCCGGCCCGGCTCTGCCCGGCTCGGCTCGGATCTCCTCTCGCTCCGGCTCTYTCTCGCCTCCCCCCGCGCCGCCTCTGCCTCCCCGGCCAGCGARAGCGGGCGAGCGGCCAAGCGGGCCCGTCCCCCCCGGCTGGAGGCACTGGCGACGCTCCGATGACCCCGGCAGCCCGGGACCAAGCGGTTCGCCTTCCCCCGAGGGGCAAAAGCTACCGTGAAGTCAGCCCCCGAATCTGATGCAAAGCAGCTTCCAAAACCACAACCATGCTGTGTCTCATCTCCAAGTAACTCTCACAATACAGCTGCAAATCTGCTCGCACACCGAGTASGTCTTTAATCTTGCTGCCCTCTACAATATTTTTAGGTTTCCTACTGTAAATCTGACGAGTATGCCTCGTACGACGGCTTCGCTCTCGTTCTCCCTCTGAGCTTCGAGCTGCTGAACAGAAACGCCAAAATCCTCTACCTTTGCGCTGCGGCTTCCACCGATGGTCCACRCTTTCGTGGAGTCCGCTAAGAGCAGCACGTAGAGAAAGGACTCCGATCCCTGCCACTGAAGTTAAAAATATGCTCCAGTGAACTAAACATAACCGATGAAGAGTTTGTTCAAATATGTTGCACTGGAAACTTTTCCAATCTGTTTAGGTTTCTCAGCAGCACGGGAAGGCGCCTCCTCTACTGTCAGGAGCGGAGTGCCCTCTGCCGAAAGCAGCGTGCAGAGCCCGGCAGGGCAGGGCCGAGCGAGCGGGGACACCTGCGCTGCTCGCTCCGTGCCCCCGGAACCCGAGGCTGCGCTGCCTCCGGTGCGCCTGGCTCCCGAGGAAAGCTGTTCTTCCCAATCTGTACATTAAAACAGGCCGTGTAACAGGCAAGAGGGCTGCTAAGGACCCGAGCTTCTATTTTTCTAATAGAATTTTTTCTAATTTCTTCTTTCTGCTCAAAGWGTATCTGGAAAGCCTGGCTTTCTGTCCATTTCACTTTTCAGTTACTCAAACAGTCATTTCACTGTGACTTCAGTTACACGCCTGCGATTGTTATCTTCCAAAATGCCATACCCATGTAGCATATACTTCAGACTTGATCACTTGAGTGCCATGTAGAAGAGGCAACATTTGGTGAATAAACAGGGGCTCTGAGGAAATCAATTATATTGCAAGTCATGAGCAACAGACAAAGGTCAGCAGGACCTGCCCTCACTCACTGAGGAAGAGCAAGAGCAAAGCAGGTATCCCGTGTCTCACATGATGACTTGTGCATGTCACTGCAGGAGCATCCAGCAAGATGCACACCAGTATGGAAATGGAAGAGAACATAAGCAGCAAACAGAGAGAAGGAATTTTTAAAAAGGATAGAAGAAATGCATCATACATCATGGAGATGAATACTAGTGACAACACAGGGTGAGGTTATGAAAAGAGAAGATGGATGCACACTTTGCCATGTACCTTCACACAGCGAGCCAGGTGCTGGGCACAGCAGCTCCAATACACTGTGCACAGTAACAGCTTCTGGGGTGGTAGCTACCAGAATCACTGGCAGCTGGAAACCAGGACAGTCTAAGCAAGAAACTTGCCCAGTGCCACCTACAAAATGCTATCATCATGTGTATTTTCTACATTTCATATTCTACCAAAAAAAAAAAAAAAATCTATTGTTTACTTTTGTATCTGGTAAGACCACAGATAAATTAATATTTTCCCCATTATCAACTTACAGAAGGCTGTTGCTCCAAAGCAGACGAAAGCCACAGTAAGTGAACTCACCTGTACTGCTTCATTTAAGCAGGTGTAGGCTGGAGGACTGCAGAGGAGSATCACCTGTGCAGTGATGTGTTCTGCAAGGGCTCTCCTGTCTCTGTGCACTACAATGACACAGAAACTGCTCTTTGACCTTCCTGGTGGGTGATCTCTAATCCTCTCACAGAGCCCCCAAACCTACTCTAGTGCTGGGGAAACCATTATCAGGCCAACAGAAGTCAATTTGTCTTTGGTAGCTCTCTCTAACAAACTGTCATGCCAGGAGTGGCAAAGTCCAGCTGCTTCCCGATGGACAGAGAGCCCAGTCAGGCAGCCAGGCCGCAGGGCATGAGCCACACAAGCTGTGGGCCTGCCCCACTGCCCCTTGGTAAAATACACAGAGGACTTGAGAGGACAGCCAGGGGTGCAGAGAGCCCCGGCAAAGTTCCAGCAGCCAGGCAGCTCCAAAGCAAAGGCAGAAAATCAGCCCATAGGCCAGCAGAGCCCACAGCTCAGCAAACCCTCCAAGGCCCTAAGACAGAGCTGAAATAGGGCTCCAGCAGCCCTGGGCAGCAGCGTGGGCAGAAGGCTCAGCTGGGGCTCTCAAGGTCATGAAGGCTCGGAGTGCCCTGGGAGCCCTGACAACACTTTGGGACCAACAGGGATGCACTGCTTACATTTGGCTGGAATCAGTTAGAAGATATCCATGGAAAAGGAGAACAAAAAGTTTGCTTGATTTTTTTTCCTGCTTGCTTTTTATTGTGTTACTGCATTGCTGTATTTTTTTTCACCTAACAAGATCAAGGGTTTATTAAGATACTTGAAAAAATCYACAATATTTTTTATTCCAACTATCTGCTAATACTGTCTAAATGTCCCATATCTATATTTTATTGTAGAAGGATTATTTGTAGAATAGTTTTTACTGTGATTTAGTCTGGGATATGTACCTTTTCCCACTATTTTTTCTGATACTCTCCTTATCTCATAATCCTGGAACATTCCTAATATCTTTCAACTTGAAACAGTAGGAAAGGATGGCACAGACTCATCTCTGCAGGAATTCCTCAGCTATCTTTGTGGTCTAATCAGCACAGACTATCAAAGAACAAGTCAGAAAAAATGTTATGAAGGACAGAATCAGCAACAGACTTCCATTATGCTCTTCTTAAGTTGCCTCCTTCTGTTCTCGCACAGGGAGAGTAGGTAAAGAATACAAAAGACAAAACTAGCTCAGACTATTTTTGAACTATTTCTTTCAGCTGTTTTTGTTTGCACTATTACAAAGCCTTGGCAGGCAAGGAAAATATTCTTAGAATAGCAGATTTCTTGCTTTGTTCTGCATCTGTTCCAARACCATACAACGTATTTGAACAGCTGGCCAGTAACATGCAAAGATCAAGCATGGCAATGACATACGATCACAGTGTTCTTTGTAGAGGACTGAGGTTTCAAAGCTGAAATAAACCCTCAGATGTACACATCTTGGTCTTAGAGGTACAGATTCAGATTTAAACCATACTTTCTATTTTTCTTGAATWGAGTTTTCTATTGGCAATGAAGCACAAACAAATACTCATTATATCAAAATAAAACACTGGAACTGCTCTGCAGGAAAGAATTTCCTGGTGGTGTTGCTCGGACGAGAACCAGAGGAGCTCGGCCTGGCTCTGTGACACTCCCACACTGCATGTAGCTTTAGAGTCTTGAAATTATGTTTAAGTTTTTTATACCAATGTGTAAAGATGCTCAGAAAAAAAAATCTTTAATGAGGACTGATACCTTTTTCTGTATTTTTATCTACTTTGTAACTTTGTATCCAGAGGTATATATAACTTAATTCTAAACCCCCCATCTACACTCTTCAGGGCAACTATGTTGTTCTCCTGTGTTATCTGCCTGTTGACCTATAAATAGAAGCTTGAATTCATGCCTACAATCTTCATAAAATCTGTTTTACATTTMAAGAACTCTAAGAGGATTCCAAGATTATTTTTCTGTGTAGGAAATAACTTAAATTAAGATCTTAATTGACGCTTCTTGTAACTGTTACAACAAACACCATAATTAACAGTTATAGTAATGTGCAGAGATTTTTATGCTTATACTGAATAAGTTCCCTACAGCATCTGCTCTCAAAAATGTAWGTAAAAAGGGGTAAATTAATTAGCTACTGGAAAAAAAAAATGGACAATTATCACCATTCACATCACTAGTAAAGAAGTTGCTGAAGCAACCTTCTACTAAACACTGATTTTTATAAAATGCAATTAGTGTAAGTCTTTACAGACTGCTTCACACACTGGTCTTCACGTAGGCTCTCTTTCCACCTCCGTTCTTCCTTTTGCTCACACGACATCAGCTTTTAACCAGAACACTATCTAAGTGGGATGGCTSACAGGAAAGCTAAAAACGCCCACAAGGAGCAGAACAAAAACGGTTATCTTCATCAGCTGAACAATTTGCAAAAAAAACCCACCCAGACACAACAGGCAGAGCACTGACGCAGCAGCACGCTGGAGTGTGAGCATCACTGCAGCTGTCATGCATCMTCCTAAAGCTGGGATTTTGTTTTCGCCGCGGCCCCTTGCACCGCTCTGTGAGAACGCAGGGCTGCGGTAGGCTTCTCCTTCCCCGCCCTCTCGGGCAGCGCCATTGGACTGATAAGATGCAGCAAGGCACATGTGAAAGATAAAGCAGAAACCAACAAAATTCAATAAATAAAAAGGTGTTTTGTCCAGGGCTCGGCCGGCCGGGGCGCAGCCCGAGCCCTTTAAGCTGTCCTGGGTCGGCGCGGGCCGGCGGAGCTGCGGCTATTTCTACCGGGGCGCGGCGGGCGCTCGGTGTCCTGCGCGGGGCGGGCCCGGCGGCGGGGCCGGAGCGGAGCGGATCCTGCCATGGCCACGGCGCTGCCCCCAACACCGGCCGGCGGGAGCCGCTCCGCCAGCCGCGCCGCCGAGTCCCCGCTCAGCCCGGCCAGGCTCAGCCGCCTGCAGGAGAAGGAGGARCTGCGGCAGCTCAATGACCGCCTGGCCGCCTACATCGAGCGGGTGCGGGCGCTGGAGGCCGACAAGTCGTCGCTGCAGCAGCGGCTGAGCGAGCAGGAGGCGAGTTCCGACCGGGAGCTGGGCTGCCTGCGGCTCCGCTACGAGGCGGAGCTGGCGGACGCCCGCCGGGCGCTGGACGACATCGCCATCGAGCGGGCCACGCTGCAGGTGGAGCTGGGCAAGATCGGCGAGGAGCATCGGCAGCTGCACGTCAGGTCTGTGCTCCGGCCCCGAGCAGGCCTCCCTGCCCGGGACTGCCCGGCCAGCCGCCTCTTGGAGCTCCTGCAAGCTCAGGGGAAGGGCATGCTTCTGGCAAGAGCCCGTGCCTTGTGGGAGGAGTGCGCAGTGATGCTGCGTGTCTGGGTTGTGCGGGCGTGGTAACCCCGAAGCTGTTGCCCTCTGGAGTGTCTAGGGTGCAGAGATACCCGGATTTCTGTTCTGAAGGTGTGTGCACCTCCGATGCTGTGGGTTCACTTCAGCCCCTGCGTGAGACGGGCTTGGGGTTCCTGCAGAATGCAGGGCTCTGGCTGCATGGGTTTGGCACCACACCTGTGTTTACAAACAGTCAGATGCTGGAAAGTATTTAGAAAGTTATGGAGCAGCACAAGGAAGGTTTGTATGGAGTCAAGAGTGCMTCGTTTTGGGGCCGTTTAGCTCAGACATTGCCCAGAGGGGAATACAGAGATGAGATAGTTCTGGGGGCAGCGTGGCTTACCTGGTCCAGGTTGGTAYGGCATGGAAGTTTTCCTAGTGGCTTTTAAGTCTGCGATGAGCTGCCTGCTCTTTTAGCTTGACTTCCTTGTAAGCTGTGTATCCCCAGCCTGCAATCATCATATTGCCTAGGCTTGCCAAGCCTGCAACAAAGGCAGTGTAAGTGCTGTCCCACCCTCCTGAAGGAGGAAGAGGTGTGTGAACAAGTGTCCAATCCCAACAAGCCTCCTCTATAGCAATATACAGCCTGCTAGCACTGTTAGTTTCTGTAATGCCCCATTGTACCCCTAAATCAGTTATAGACTTGTATAATTTGGATGTCCACAGGCCCCTTTCATCTTATTATAAACAGGTATCAGAGAAAATACAAGCATCGGCTTTTTTATTTTATTTTAATGCCTGTATGGATAAAGTGCTGCCCCTTCATAGGCTCAGTAGGACTCAAGTAGCTTGTTCTAGTTGGAAATAAAACATGTTTTTACTGTAGGCTTCTGTTTTCAGCTGCATAGTTGCTGGGCTTGTGTCAGTCCTGCTGTGTTTTGGCTCACAGATTTGTTTCATAAATCTAACCAGCCACTTGAGTGGACAGTGAGGAGAGGGGTAATGCCTGTTCTAAGACTTTTTTGCTGCTCTTTGTGTTTGTGTAACTGTGGCTTTGTTTATAAGCTTTAGACTTGGCAAGTATGCAGTCCTCTGGACTGTTGGTTTGGGGTTTTTTCCTTTGCAGTAACTAGGTCTCAGAAGYGGTTAAATTTACAGACCATGGGAAATGATACCTGGTACATATTRGTTTCTGAAAGCACTAGATTGAAGTCCTAATATTTATGTGTGTTGTATCTGGGCTGCCTAACTGCAAATGTCTCAGATGACYTGGAACAAACTTTGAGGGTGTCGTGTCCTTATATATACACCCTTTAAATAACCTGGTAGCTGTTAAACCCTTATAGAATGAAATGTCACCAGATAATTTCCCAACAGCATTAACTACTGGCCCTTGTTCATCACTGATTAAGAGACACAAAGTTTTTGACAACAATAAACTCATTGCATATGGTGTTTTCTTACTACTTAAACAATAGTGACYGGAATAGGCCGAAGATGTTTTGGGAGGAGGAGTTGTAGATTAGCATATCAGCTGAATACAGARCCTGAGGAAGGTCAAAGCAACTGCAGTAACACAGCACAGAAAGACAAGAACAGTTCCTTTCTGCACCAGTGAGTGTGGATGTGCTTTTTGCTCCTGAACCTGCCRAACACAATATAGCAGCTGGGCTTGTAAGAATGAATTCTGTATCTGCTGCTGGCATCCTCTGGTTTTGACAAACTGGAGTCSGTTTCAAACATACCCAAAATCTTTTGGTAAAATTATTTAAATTCTCTAGATCAAGCATATGTGACATCCTGATTTACAAGGAATGTGATTGGCAGTACCTCAAAGTTTTTGCTTGTAATTGATAGTCTGTAGGCCACACTTAGCTCTGGCATGGCTGGTCTGTGGAATGTTTTAGAGTACTGTAACTGTCACTGCTTGCTGCACATGGGTGAAAAGTGGTGTTCTGAACCCCAAACGTGCATTTAAAGGGGTAGTAAGTGCTCTTGTCAAAGTCAGACTTCGTAAATTGTTGTTCTTAAAGATGAAATGTCTCACTCCAGGGTTCTTTGAAAATAATATTTTTCAGGAAAGAATCCAGGAAACCTGAGCCTGGCTGTCAGATGCTTACATTGGAGAGTGGATTGTAAAAACAGATACTAATGGAATTTTTGTTTTGCACACACTTTGATTGCAGAATGGACTTTTTATTATTGTAGGATGACACAGTCAATATTAAGTAGTGTTATTGACATRCTTAATATATCTAATACAGTAAGTGATAGTAGTAGCAGAGATACCAAAAGGAAGATGAGTAATTAATACCTAGAAAAGAAAGAAATCTGTAAATACTACAACTACATTATCTTGTTTTCCACTGTTAGCAGGGCTACTTTTCTCCTAGAGTCTGAGTAAAGAGTAAGTAACTTCTGCTAGCCCGACACAATCACGTTTCTAAGAGCAGGGCTAGAAAAGGCCTTGGCAAGCACCTGATGTAGCCACATGCCCCATGTGCTGGAACCAGCCATGCCTGCATCCCTTCCAGCAGATTTTCTGTAATCTTTATTTTAAATTCCAGATGATGGAGATTCCAGAATATCTCCCCCACCCCAGGCACTGTGCTTCAGTGGTGAACTGTTTCCTCTCCCTAACATCTAACCCACTTATTCCTCCTCACAATTTAAGCCTGGAGCTTCCTGTCTTTTCCTGCAATAGACATGGAAAACAGATTCCCTTCCTTTGCACCAGTCCTTCATGTATTTAAAAACTGTTCTGTCTCTTGTCACTTTTCTCTTCTYTAGACTAAACAACCCTTAGATTTTTCCAATCCTACCTTGCAGTCTAAGCTTTCTAGAGCTGATCAATCCTGCAGAATTACTTTGGACTCTTGTCAACTGATCTCTGTTATCCACTGGAAAACTCATYGTATGAATGAATGCAACTTTGCCACTTGGCAGAACAGATCTTGCCTGAATAAATTGAGGACTTCCTTTATTCTTTGTAATCTCAAATCTGAGTTTTGAGCAGGGACTCAGGATAGTGGGCAGGCAACTGAAARGATTTTAAAAGTTGGAGCAGCCTGGGGAATTACCACTGTGTCCTTCCCTCACAGGACCTTGCTGTGGGCCCTTCTCGCACTTGGCCACGGTGGTGCCAATGGCAGATGAAGTGTGTTGGTCATCCAGGTGGCACCTGCGGCTGCAGTACCTGGCTATTGCTGTGGAGATGCCTCTTGTGTGACAGCAAAGCTGTCCTGTCCCTYCCTGAGCTCCGCTGCTTGGCTGAGRGGSTTCGCCCTGGGGCTGAGGGGSTTCGCCCTGGGGCTGAGGGGCTGTGGAGGGCAGAGCCGCGGCGGGGCAGCTCCCGGGATGGCCGCGGGCCTCCGGGGGACAAAGCCGCCTGTGTGCCGCGGGCAGGACATGCCGGGGGCGGGGAGGAGGAGCGGC